ATATATATATATATATATATACTACACTATATATATATATATATATATATATATAATATATATATAATATCTATATATATATACACTATATATATATATATACATATACTTATATTATATATTATATATATACTATGTTTATATATATATATACTATGTTTTATATATAGATATATATATATATATATATATATATATATATATATATATAATATATATATAATATATATATATATATATAGGGCTGTACTGGGGGTGGTCAAGCGGCCCGAGACTGTATATATATATATATATATATATATATATATATATATATATATATATATATATATATATATATATATATATATATATATATATATATTAGGGTTATAACAAAAAAAAAATTTTTATGAAGTCACTTGCAATCGAGGAAACTTTATGTGTAATTCAAGAATATAAATTGGATTTTTGATGTTTTTTAAAAAAGTTCTTCCACTCACACAGGAAAAGAAAAATGAAAAAATGTTTCTTCATCAATTTTACCGCACGTTCAGCAATTTAGTTAGATCTGGGAATATCAATAAATGACTCCTCAATTGACCAATGTGTCTTTAAACACTTAATTGCTTTCTTGCATTTTATCTTGAGGTTAATAGTTCATTGAAGGATGCTTCATTGTAGTGTTGCGAATGGAACCAAGCACTTGCCCATTCGTACCAGATAAAATTGCATGCTGGAACGAGGGTGGTGCGCCACTCTGGCATCAGGAATAATGCTATAACAGCATATATTGCACGTGAGTTCCATCTTGCTTGGTGTACATTTGGGAGTTTTTTCCAGTTTATTTGAGGGCAGCGTGAAGTTGTTTTGTAATGACGATACGCTTGACATAGTTCATATAAGAACATGAAATTATCTCGCCATGCAGGGTTTAATGCTATAACAGCATATATTGCACGTGAGTTTCATCTTGCTTGGTGTACATCTGGGAGTTTCTTCCAGTTTATTCAAGGGCAGCGTGAAGTTGTTTTGTAATGACGATACGCTTGACATAGTTCATATAAGAACTTGAAATCATCTCGCCATGCAGGGTTTTTGCGTGTGTTAACATCATCTATCGCATATAGGCGGTAATCATCCTGAAGAGAAACATAATTCTCTGTTAATTTATCAATGAAAGAATAATTGAGTTCTGGTTTGCTCGTTGGCTCTTGAATAAAAAAATTCATGACATGTTTCAGAAGGAGGTCGAGAACATGGTGCTGACAGCCAATATATTGTGGTTTCTGAAAGTCCTTGCTCAAAACATCATCTTGTATTAGCTTTACAATCCCATGCAGACGATCAGTATTTACTGCAGTCGTGTCACAGATTATCATGCAAATATTTTCCCAAGCATTGTATTTATCAATTAGCTGATGTAGTTCCTTGTGAATGGCCGCAGCAGAACCACTCTCACATTTAAGAATACCGAGTTTGATTTCGGTAGTCATATTTTTCAGGAGAACTACTTGGTATTCTTCCCCATGCACTCTTTTACCATCAAACTGAAGACAATATGGATCTTTGGCCTTAAGTTTTTGAGCAATTTTGGTTTTCATTTTCTGTCCTTCAGAGATTACTCTTTTACAGACACCCGCCTGACTTGGAACCGGCACATCGTGGCCTTGTTTAGCAATGGTTGCGAGAACGTCATGTGCTTTTTGTGTAGAAATGTTGTTTTTCAATACTAGTAAACCAGCTGCTGTAGTGCTGGCTCTTTGGTATTTCGGTTTGCATTCAGAAGATGACGTAGAAGAAGAGGTTTGCAAATCGGGTGAGAAAACAGAAGTTTCAGAATCCGAAGAATCTGAGACAGTTTTATGTGTTTGTGTGGGATGCAATTGAGAAGAGCTGGCTTGGGATTGAGTTTTTGATAGTCGGATTTGTTTTCTTGGGTGGATTGATTCCAGAGGAGCTTGTTTGACCATTGAATAACCAATCTTTCCTAATATGAATTTATTATTAAACTAACGTCGAAAGAAGGTGAAAAAACACGACATTGTTGTCTCAAACTTAAAAACAAAAAAGAAACATGAAACTTTCTGTTGACTTCAAAATTGGCGACACCTTATAAATTCTACAATCAACCTCATTTAGAAGAACCAAAAAAATACTTTTATGAAATCATTATGTGAGCTTATAAGTACATTTAAAAGTATTTTTAAATTTTTCAGTTTTGTTGAGCCTTCGGAGTTTTTAAAACTTTTTAGTTTAAATTCAAATCTTTGCGACTTAAACAAACTCATGCCCTTAGGATTCATTATCTCATTAGAAACAAATAAATGTTACTTCGTCACTATCAAAAAATGCCAAAATGCATTTTAATGAAGTTTGAGTTTCATCGATTAACTTTGTTTTTTAAATCTTGTTTTCGTCACACCTACTAAAACTGAGATGAAACTGTGTGTGTATTTTTGTTCCCAACCCCTAATTACAGTAATTTTTCTTAAAAGGCCATCCTGAATTAACACCGGTATAATTTTATTTTAAAACTTAATCATGATATATTATTAGAATTAAAATTTTATGAAAAAATCCCTGGCTTTTCAAAATTTTCCATAATAAAAGGGCGTTGTGACAATTGAAAGTTCTGGATAGTTAATCAATAATAAGTCCTAATAATAATTAATGATAATTCTGGATAATTAATATTCTGGAGTGAAAATTTGAAAACTTGAAATGTTGAGATTATTTAATACGAAAAAAAAACTTTTGGAAAATATTGACGAAACCATATCTAAAAAAGTAAGGATTTACAACTAGAATGAATAATCAACATTCGTAGGATTATCCATTCTAGTTGTATAATTAGTTGCTTTAGATCCATGATTTTTCAAGCTTTTTGATTGGATAAACTTTATTTTGTTTGGCTATGAGAGATATGGATTAGATAAAAGTCAAGTTTTTTCGTTAGCTAAAATTAAGAAATAAGCAAGATTTATTATTTTCAATATTAAGAACACTTAATTCCGTTTTAGTGACCAACTGCATTTTGTTACTCAGGTAATTTTTATCTAATTTTCCTATATAAAGCCTTTGATACTAAATTGTTTTAATTTTGATAAAAATATTTTCTGCATAAAAATTTCCCATTAAAAACAGGGTAGTACACATAAAAAACGCCTACTAAACGTACCTGCTCATTTTTAAAATTTAATATATTATATTTATAAATTCATCTATAGCACGGTAGGTCAAACGGCTTTTTGGAAAACCAAATTGATTTTTATTTGAGAGTTTTATTAAACTCAATGTGTAAGTACGTAAAAAATACTCGAAGAATTAGAATTGGACAGGGGTTGAACGAATATGGAACAGTAGCTGGACGGATATTGGATGGTAGTTAAACGGGTATTGGACGGTTGGCAGATGGAAATTGGAAGGTAGGTGGACAAATATTAATTACTAGTTGCACGCAACACTCTACTTTCAAAAATATTTATTAAATATTTTTTCATTCAGTGCCTTGTTAATTCTTTACATGATATTTGTTCATTTGATGAACGAGGTGAAAAGTTTGTCTTTTGCAAATTTATCAAATTTCTTAACGAATCTTTCTATTTTGGAAGCAAGACTGAAACCAACATTTACAAAGTAATTAGTTAAACTCATGATATAATTCCGTTTTCAGTATTGTTTGTAAGTTGTTTATTCAGTTTTGTTTGTAAGTTACTTATTTAGGGACTTGACTGAGCTGGGTTGGCGAGATTTCATCAAGTTTAATCCCGGTGGGAAGTCGGCTAGCAATCAGATAGCTATAATCGTTACAATAAAGACATCGATTTGGCCACGAGGATCGCTAGCTTTTTAAAGTTAGCAAAAAGCTATAGATATTTGTAAAGACAAAGACAGCGATTTGGCTACGAGGACAGCAAGCTTAATAAGCTAAAGACTCACAGGCTATTGTAGCTACCGTCATATCGTAATAAAATCGCTATCAAAAAAATTTTGGTATGTAGCTATCAACCAGCTTTGTAGATTTGTAGATATTTTGTCGCTAACTAAAAAGCTACGATACGTAGCTAGCGACACATTGCTACAAAATCGCAATGTTTAAAGTTCTATTATTCTCATAATTAAAATAGATTCAACACTAAAAATCGAATTTTTAAAGATGTTAGAGACATTAGTAAAGAATAAAATAAGAAAAAAAAATCGCTTGAAAATCGCTATAAAGCTAGCTAGTCGCTTGCTAGTCGCTAGCTCATTTCCCACCGGTATACTTACCTATAAAAATTAATTTTGTTTACATAAGAAACGGGCAAGAGCTTTTGCTTTCTTTTAGATATTATTATAAAGAGTTCGTCGTCTATAGATTTTTTCATTTTTTTTTTTTTTTTTTTTTTTTACACTTTTCTAAAATAAAAAAACATTTCATGTTGAAAATATATTTCAATCAAAAGCGTTCTTTGCCAGTAAAAAAAAATGTTTATTTTATGTACTCATTGTGACGTAATGTTTCTGCTACTAATTAAGTGCCAAAGGCGGTCAATATACGAGGTAATTTAGATTATTTAACAAAAATTGAATCGAGAAGTTCAAAATAAGAACATAAATGCTAACTTTAGTTTTCTTGTCAGCATCTTTACTTAAATGGTTAAGGGGTTGTAAATGTTTGTGGAACACCTTGCACCTTTGTTTGTGGAACACCTTGCACTTTTGTTTGTGGAAACCTTTGCATATTTTCAATTACTTCTATGAACATTAATTTAATTTTAAAATTTTGGTTTAAAAGAAAAAAAAATCTTTTCAGTAAAAAATCTTTTGTTGTGTGCGTTTTGAAATAAAAATGTGTTGTTTTTTTTTGTTTATTTTGGTTGTATATAATTTTACCCTAATCAACGCAATCTTAAAATTAAATTAATTTTTTTTTTTAATAACAAATATCAAAAAAAAAAATGTTTGTGTGTGTTTGCAAAAAATTGCAAACCATTTAAACCTCAGTTAAAATTCTTCATTTAAACATTTTTTCATAGATAAAACTGGAGGAAGGTGAACGCAAAAAAATGAGAAGAGAAAGAAATAAAGTTGCTGCTTCAAAATGTAGAAATAAAAGAAAAGAGCACATAAAGTGTTTAATGAAGGTAAATTAAAATCTTATTTACCAATAAATTGTACTCGATGAGTCTCCTACCCTTCATCTTCTAGGATTAACTCTTACTTCTGATCTTTCTTGGAAACCTTATATCAAATCCGTGGCAAAATTAGCATCTGCTAAAGTTGCTTCTCTTTATCGAGCTTGACACTTTCTTACTCTAGATTCTATTCTCTACCTCTATAAATCTCAAATCCGGCCTTGTATGGAATACTGTTGCCATATCTGGGGTGGATCTTCCAATGATGCCCTTTCTCTTTTATACAAGGTGCAAAAACGCATTGTAAAGATAGTTGGACCTGCTCTTGCAGCCAACTTTCAACCTCTGTCACATCGTCGTAATGCTGCTTCTCTTTCTCTTTTCTACAAATACTATAATGGGCACTGCTCTAAAGAGCTAGCGTCTCTTGTGCCATCTACTAAAATTCGTTCTTGTGTTACTCGTCATTCAATTAAGTCTCATCCTTTTTCTGTTACTGTTCCTAATTGCTCCAAAAACTCTTATTCGTCTAGTTTTTTTCCTCGAACATCAGTTCTTTGGAATTCGCTTCCTTCATTTTGCTTTCCTTATTCATATAATTTGCAATCTTTTAAGTTGTCTGTCAATCGTTATCTTGCTCTACAACCTTTATCTTTTCTCTTCCAGTAACTTGCAACACTAATTAGTGGTTGCTTGCAGCCTTGTTGGAAGCGAAAATGTTTAAAAAAAAAAAAAATTGAATTAATTAAACAATTGAAGAGCTAAGTGCTAAAAGTGCCTAACTCACAAAACAAATTTTTTGAAAAAATCTACTTTGATCAGCTATTTAAATCCTTATTTTGAAGTTTTTAGCTCTGATCAAAGTAGATTTGCTCAAAACATTTGTTTTGTGACTAAAGTACTCTTAGCACTTCACTCTTCAATTACTTTCGCTATTTATTAAACTAAATTTTTAAATTAAACTCGACGCATAATTATATTATTTAAATGAGTTTCATTTCCTAATATTATAATTAAGTTTGGTGAATCCAACATAATTTGAGAAAACCACCATTACACTTCGGATCGCAAATTTAGTTTAACTATAAAAAAATGTTTTACTACTATTTAATAAACATTTTCTTATTAGAAGATTAGGATGCGGTAAGACGAAATTTTTAATGCAGTCTAAATTATTATTTTTTTCTTGAGAAAAACAAAAATCGCTCCACAAATCATTTTTGTTTTTCAAATTGTTATTTCTTGTTTTTTTCGTTGACCTTATAAATTAGGATTTCCAATTTTGTCAGTTATCCAAAGAGTTGAAAAATTTATTTTTCTTATACATTAACAACTCTTGATTAACCGAACAGAGCAAAAAGCGCTGACCGCTAACCGTAATGAGTTCGAGCACAGCTCGTTATAATAAAAAATAAAGGTACTGGTTATAATAAAAATAAATATATATATATTTATTTTTATTATAACTGATTAAAAAAATTAAATTGTTTTCAAAATATATGACTTAGGTTATAAGCATTTTTTGTTTGTGAGAGATTTCATATTAAAAATTTAACTTGAATTTTTTTTTTTTTAACGTGCAAATTGACTATAATAAAATATAGTCTATTCACATGTGCGTGCAAATAGACTCATCCTAAAATTATGCCTCCATAACGCTTCTCAGCCTAATGGCTCAGATCGAGTGTAGTATCTGTTCTTATTTTGGCTCCAGACCACCATTAACTTGGTTACGGTGTTGTTAGAAAGCAGAAATAGTCTGAGATCGCCATATTATTTAGGAATACTAGTGGCAGTTATGGATAGCTTATAACTTCCAATACCCAGACAATTAAAACTAGAAAGGTACAATGTAAGAGTGATGAATACTAGACTGGAGGAGGCAGGAAGTGTACCCCAAAAAGAGAAACTAAACGAAAAAATGAAAGAAGAAACAGAACCATCTAAAGAGACAATCAAAGAAGCGGGAGAACCACTCGTAGATACATTAGTAACAAAGTGTATAGCAGAGCTACCCGTAGATCTATTAATTACAAAATGTGAAGCACAAGAGTATAAAAAGAGTAGTAAGAGTACAAAAGAACAAAGACCAAGATGTTTCTCATGTAACGCAAGAAGCAGAAAATGTATTAGAACTAACTAATATGAAAAAAGTAAAGCTAATGTCGGCTATAAATTACATTACTGAAAACTCCACACCTAAACATTAAATACTAGGAATCAGCCATAAAGAAGAAATGGAGCAGGTAGGTAAAATACCATCCAAAGAAATACAAAAAGAACAATTGACCAAAAACTATAGAATCGAATGAAAAATAACTACAAATTCAGAACATGTACAAGCAGAAATTAATGTATCTGAAGTTGAGCTCTCAATAGAGTTTCAATCTATATGTTATAATGAAATACGGTGTTACAATAAAAACTTTCTTTGTTGTTTTAATAAATACAATTGCACCAAAAATGAATTAAAATGGTTCTTTCCATTTTAATCCATTTTTAGACACCTAAAGGAAACTAAAACCACACGGAAAAGAGTACACTTACTAAAAGATTGATGGGTCCGTCAAAAGTCGTGTTGAAAGAATATATAGCCAAAGACACCTGAGTGATCATAGAACGTTAATCTCTAATCAGCTGACGAAGAATTAAAATAGAAAAGGGCCAGAATATTGGCACAAAATTTATTTAAAAGTTAAGATGTTTTAATCTAGCATTGAAAGAAGGACACCCTTCTTTCAAGTTTTTTTTATTTTTTTTCTAATTTCATAGAGTTTCTCATAAAAACTTGTCAATTCCACCTCAACTCATATAATATAATTATTTTTTAAATTTGTTCTACCGTCATTTTTTATAAATTTCTGAAAGATTGCATAGTATACCTTTGCATAATAGTCACTTTTGAATGTGCTGTCTGTCTTAATGAAAATATAATCCTTTGCTCCTAGCAATAACCTGGTATTATTTTTACCTTTATAAAAGTTGATGACTTACTTTATAACTTCAGAAGTCAATTTCTTTGGGTTTCTTATGTCAGTTGATCTCGTACGAAGGATTTCTTTAACGTCTCAAAACAAAATATATCTGAAAATATGTTTTAGATAAATAAAGAGACATTTTTAGAACTAAAATTTAGCAAAAAACATATTTTTAGATTTATTTTAGTTGTAAACTTTAACAAGTTGTTTATATTTTGCCCATATATTGAAGACAGTAGTAGCTAATCAGAAAACCTATCTGTAAAGACTTGTTAATGAATAAAAAAATACTACAGTTATCTTCATTTTGGCATATTTCAGCAATTTTCTAACGTTTAAGAAGTTAAATTTTTTCTAATATAATGCAAGTTAATACAAACCACTATTTTAAACACAGAACTATCCAGAAAAAAAAATTATAGAAAAAATGAGATACGTCTAAAGTTAGAATAAAGTTATAAGGTTTTAAAGTTGGCAAGGATTGATTGTCATTATTAATAGGGTTGAATGTATATAAAGGTAAATTTATATATAATAAATACATAAAGGTACAATGTAAATATAAGGTATGTATAATACATATTTAAGGTGCGCCTATATAAAAGTAGTAGTTTGGCCTATTAACCACTGACGATGCATCGACCGATACTGATAAATTATTGTTCCTAAATGCTCCAAATATTCTTTTTGTCTAACTTTTTTCCTTAATAATTCATATAATTTACAATCTTTTTATTTGTCTGTTATTAGTTATTTTGCTTTATAAACTTCATCTTTTCTCTTCCAGTGACTTCCAACTCTAATAATGATTGCTTGCAGCCTTGTTGTTGGAAGTGAAGATGTTTTAATGAAAAGAAAAATTTTTTAGATAAAAAAACTATTTTTGGTTGATAAATCAGAACGTAAAAGTTTCCACAAGTTTTTTTATTATTTAGGGTGGATCAAGTGGCCCTCCTTGACCTAATATGCGGGTGCCAAATAATATATCATATTTTTTATATAACATATTTTTTATAATTTTTTTAAATATAATATATATTTTATAATATTTTTTTAATATAATATTTTTTCAATGTATAAATCTATTTTATTGTAAAAATACATTTTTATGTATAAATACATTTACAGTATCATTAAGTCATTCGTATCTTTTTTGAGCTCCTACCTGATATATTTTTTTTTAATATGTGATATTTGCACCCTGAAAAGTTTGCGGTGTTTAACGAGTATTTAACAATATATGCAACTTTAGCAGCACGTATACCCTATTTTTTCTTTATACTTTTTACGCTGATCAAAGCAGTTGTTTGATAGTTGACTGCAATAAGAGCAAAATATCCATTATCACAATATTTACATACTTTCCTAAAGGAACATTAAGTGTCTTTCCAATTAGAACTTGAAACGTTTAAACATTCAACAGAATTTGATTAGGGGAAAACAATAGCGAGGACTATCTGAATTTTCTTTTTTATCTACAAACATAGCTTTAATTTTAGATTTACTTTCTTTAAGCAAACATAGTTTATTTACTAAACGATTTAAATAAAAGTAACTTATCAAGCAGATATGCATCGTATTGTCGCTGTACGTAATTGTTTTCCTGTTAATGATAATAGTTTTTCTATAATGTCTAATTTCAAAATTCCTCAAACCAAATTTTAATCTTATATTATGATCGCGTTGCCCTAATTTATTATACTTTTACTTGAACCTTTATTGCTACTTTTATAGAGTTAACGTGGTTCTGTTAAATATTCATTGTGCCGTCTATTCCAAAAATGTTCTCAGATAATGTTTTATCTCTTTTATTATGATTTTATATTTATAAATGTTTTTAATAATAACTTCTATGAGCTGATTCTTTTAACAAAGACAAGACGATTAGAAGACAAAAAGTCCTGGTCAAATGGTCCTCGTTCTTAGTACAAAAATTTTAATAGTCGATTATTTGTAACAACTTTGCTAACTGCAAGAGTTGTGAGTAATTTTTCGTAAGACTGTCTTGCTGTTTTTCATATTTATCTGAAAACTCACTCGTCTGAGCACATCTTATATTTAAAAAAAACTCCCCGTACCAATAAAGCAGCTGCAAAATTCCCATATAATTTCTTTTGAAGATGCGAATGATTGTTTAGTCAGCTGTAAATCACAATCCATTGTTGTTTTTATTTTTGTGGGATGCGCTAAATTTGCTGAAGATTCTTTGCAAACTCATCCCTCAAATGCACGCCAAAGCACTCAGTTAGTTGAACTTGTTGGTGGCGTGAGTGTCGCGCAAATTAAATCGTGTTAAGCTTTTAAACATATCAAGTTCTAATTAGGTAGGCAGAGAACGCACATCTTGGGAATATGTAACTTATACAAATATTATTAAAAATGGTCTCGTTTCTGTAGTCAGCTATCAAGCAAAAATCTCATTATAAAGCTTTTAGTTAAGTAATTCGATTATTTAAATTTAGGAATCAGATGATATGGAAAACAAAAACGTGGATCTACAAACGGAAATTTCCTCTCTTCAAGCTGAAATACGAGAGCTTGAATGTATACTTGATAGTCATACTTGCATTATGAAATCCAAAACTAAACGAGGAGAATAGCGTTATTGGAAAAATACAGCTAATTCCTGTTACTAAACGAGATAATCTAATCCATTAAGTTATAAGCTGACATAACAAATTAATAATAAATATTAAAAAATAGATACATTTAACTTATAAAACACCTTTTTTGATTGGTTACACAGTAATCAATATTGAATGTCAACATTCCTTAAGTCAACATTTTAGAAAAAACTTGTTTTTTTGGTATGACGAAGAATAAAGAAAAAGATAATTACGTGTGTGCTTTATAAGTAAATGGTTTTTGATTAGTTCGATTCATGTGATCTTAGGTTGCTTTATTTGCAAAAATAACCTTCGATATTAATCACAGACGTAATATTAATCACATATTTTATACTTTGATTTTTCGTTTTTTATTATAAAATTTTTTTGTTTGAAAAGCAAATTTTCTGCAGTTCATTTTCGATATAATTGTATTTTTTTATATCTATTGTATTTAAATTTTTTATACTTTTGACAATGGTTTAATGACTATTTTTATTCTGTTAAATAATTTTTATTTCTACTTTATTCTGTAGTTCTTTAGTTTTATTATTTTATGTACGATTTTGTATTATGAGTCGCTTTGTAAACGTTTTATAACAAATATATATATATATATATATATATATATATATATATATATATATATATATATATATATATATATATATATATATATATATATATAAAATTTATACAAATTTTTTTTGTTCTACCTAGGGTAACCTATGCAAGTACTACATTTTTCTGATTTTATGTAAACAAACATAAAGATTTTCAAAAATATTTAGTACAGTAACAAGGTTCTCCAATTGCTTGGGTATTTTAATATGTATATGTCTCTATGTATGTATGTATGTATGTATGTATGTATGTATGTATGTATGTATGTATGTATGTATGTATGTATGTATGTATGTATGTATGTATGGACTTACATTTAGAGATAAGCGCAACCATTTCTTACTTACACAGCAGCTAAGTGCGACCAAAAATTTAAGCGCATCCAGATGTGTATCATTCCATCAAAATCCGCCATGGTGAACAGATGTTATTCTAACAGTTAAAAAAAAGAAAGAAAAATAAATTTAAATAAAAATTAAAAATGGCTATAACTTTATCAGAAATAAAAGATATGTTTATTCAACACTTAAAAGAAATACAGATATTATTTAAAGAACAAGAAAAAATATTTGTGGACTAACTTAGCGATATCTTAAAAATAATTAATGTACGCCTAGATAATGTTGAAACAAAATCATTGGATTGCAACAAAAGAATACACTTGCTAAAAAATAATATAAAGTTATAAATCTTGAAAGAAAGCTTAGCAATTTCCACGAACATTTAATTGACTAAAAAGTTAAAACTGCTAATGATTCTAAGGAATCTGAAAACCCATATAATAATAAAATTTTAAACGAAATATGCAAAATTTCCAAAGACAGGTCGCAGCGCAGGAACTTAAGGATACACGGAATCTCTGAAAATGTTAATGAAACTGAACTAAAGGTTCAGAACTTATTATGCGTAAATTTAGGAGTGAAAGGAGTCGAAATTGAAATGGCACATCGAGTTGAATTTATAAAAGAAGCCCGATCATTATATTAAAGTTGTTAAGGTTTAAAGATAAATCTAACATTCTCAATGAAACAAGATAAATTAAAGGCCTGAATATTTACGTAAATGAAGATTTCCCTCAAGTATGTAGGAAGATTTCCCTCATATGTAGGAAGTTATTTTCAGAAACAAAAGAAAGAAAATTGAATGGAAAAAACTTAATTTTCATGTTAATAGTGGCAACAACAAACGTGCAATGGAGGAGTGTGGTTTCAATAATGTATCTAAAAAGGGCATCTAATAGCTGCAAGTCCGACCAACTACTTCAGTTATAGCTCAAAAACTTTATTTTCTTGTTCATAATCGTATAATCATAACTCAATTCCAAAAACAATTAAAACTATTTTTTTTAGGAAAACCCTGCTACAATCAATTTTGATAAACACTTGAGCCCAAAAGAATCATTGTCCCTTTCAAATAGACTATATAAGACCATGCTACCAACAGTGTCTACTAACTTTGATTCCATAAAAGTCATTGTTTCCTTCAAATAGACCATGAAATACTACCAACAGTGTTTATGAACATTAATGATTTAAAAAGCTACCTCATATTCACCTCACTCAACAGTTTCTGAGGAAGAGACCGAGATTTTCACATATTAAAATTATACCATAATTCTTAAAATGTTTAGGATTATGTAGCGCTTTAACTAGGAGATCGAGTAGTTGGAAATGACCCCGTTGTGTTAGAGAGAATTTCAAATGATTTGAAAAAATTATAAATTTATAAATTTTATAAACAGTTTTAAAAAAATTCTGAATCAATCATTCAGTGCACCTCCTCAAAATATTTCAATCAGATTATATCCGTTTTTTATGTAACTTTTCTCAACCGAGAAAAAATCAATATATATAAAAAATATTTCATCACTAAAAGACATCGGCTTGACGTCTTCGAACGTACAGTAAAATGCTCTTCTCTTTAAATGTTTATATATATATATATATATATATATATATATATATATATATATATATATATATATATATATATATATATATATATATATATATACATATATATATATATATATATATATATATATATATATATATATATATATATATATATATATATATATATATATATATATATATATATATATATATATATATATATATATATATATATATATATATATATATATATATATATATATATATATGTTTTGTATGGTAACCGGAAAAAAATCCCCCCGCAAAAAAGCCCCCCAAAATAATCCACTGAGGAAAAATCCCCCTAGAAAAAATCCCCCCGCAAAAAAATTGTTCACAAAAGTTTTATTTTTCAAATTATTTTTATTTCTTTACATTTTTTATATTTTTTTACAAAAGCATTACCAGCAATCATAAAACGTTGAACAGTTTCTTATATTTGACAGCGGTGTTGCGGACGCTAATTGCGTAATAATATTTTCAACAAACCTAATAGTCTAGTTGATGGTCAAAAAGGTCACATCTGAAATTGGCATTACCGAATTCAATCATTTTGCACGGCATCTCACCTGACATTATGGAAGTTCCTAGATATACTTAAAAAAAAGAATTCATAAACAGAGTTGAAATCCTACAGACTAAAGGAGGTCATCATGTAAAAAAAAAAAATTCTTATATGAAAAATAAAATTATCTTATATGAAAAACAAAATTTTTTTATATGGACCCCAAGGGTAAGTCCTTTTAGTATAACACACAAGGATACTTTGTCAAAGAAAGATACCCTAGTGCTTACCCAAGTTGGATACTTTTGTGGGATACCAATCTGTAATCAGAGCTAGAGGGTTTCCTACATATATACTGTTCTGGGAGGCATCTATTCATACATAATTATCAACTCAATTCAGACTGCATGAAACAGATATAAGACAAATAATTCCTCTCAAAGTTTGGCATTTTATATTCATTCAGTCACGTGACAGTTACAATATAGCTATTACTGACCATTTTTAATATCTCTGCTAAACCATTATTGTTTATGGCTATCTCTTTTTTATGTTTATAATTTTTCATCTTAGAGACTCTTATTCATTTTCTCTGGACTTCTGTCCATTTTTTCTTCTACCTCACTCTGCTATCATCTTTGTTTTCTTATGCTTCCAATAAGACATCCACTACTCAGTACAGCTCTACTAAAATGCACAGCATTTACACAAAATTACCTAACACTGACGCTGAATAACACTCCCCTCTTAAACACTACCTCTCAATACTGGACATCTGTTATTATAATTTATTTAGCACTAATTATTATAATTTATTTAGCAATTTCTAGCACTTATATAAAACATTTGTTTCTTCTCTTGAGATTATTACGGCCTGATGATTCCGAAAAAACATTCTTATTTGAAAAATAAAATTTTTTATATAAAAAATAAAATTTTTGGATAATTTTTTTTTCGGGGGAAATTTTTCTGGGTAGTTTTTTTCTCGGAGGATTATTTCCTCGGGGGATTATTTAGGGGGGATTTTTTCCGGAGAGATTTTTTCCCGGGGGATTTTTTTCCGAGAACCGTTTTGCATATTTTAAAACACGTTTGTATATTTTTTACTAAACACGTTCGTATGTTTTAGGATTAAATTGGATTTAAAGTTATAAAATTTTCTAAATGTTATTAAGTCCACAATTAAGTTTTTTTGTACGTGTTTTTGTTACTATTAATTTAATAAGTATCGCAATAAAAAGTGGATTCGCCGCTAGTCAATGGATTTGTTTTTGAAACTAATTTTTTAAACATTCAGGCTTTTTTATTACTGATTATGCAAAGGAAACCAGAATATACAATCAGAACAATGTTTTTTAGGTTAGGATGCATAAACGTTTATTTAACTTATAAAAAAAATGCTTTCTAATTACAGGGTTTTGCAAAGTTATAAGTGCACGTTTGCAAAGTTATAAGTGCATTTATAAAATTATTTTTACTCGAAATGCTGTTGGTCGTGTTATAAAAAATAGTGATAATAATATACCCTTCACGTCATCTACAGTAAAAAGAAAAGAAACGTATAAAATCAAAAATTCTATAAATACAAACATTGAACAGACAATATTTAATTTCGTGGTTTGTAACAATGCCATAGTTCAAAAAAAAATTCAAACGCAAATTTTAGAACAACATGGTAAAAACGTTTCAATCTCGTTTGTTTCCCGTAAATTAAAGAAATTAAATTTGACACGAAAAAGATTAGCAATCATTCTCAAGAAAGAAACACCATGGAAAGAATAAATCAGAGATCAATTTTTGCGGCAGAAGTTGCTAGAATTGCTGATTCAAGTTTGGTTTTTTTAGACGAAACCGGATTCAATAAACATACAGTGCGCTCATATGGCTATTCTCCAAAAGATACAAAATCGTACTTGACAGTTCCTGCAAATAAAGGACAAAATGTTAGCCTCATGTGCTTAATTTCCAATTAAGGAGTTAAATGTTACCAATACAAAAGCGGCGCATACAATGCACAATCATTTATTGATTTCATCAACAACAAACTAGTACCATTTTTTGCAGTAAATCCAAATAAAATTCTTATCCTAGATAATGCAAAATTTCATAAAGCAGCTGCAGTACTTCAATTACTAAGAGAAAAAAATATTACTCACAAGTTTTTAGTACCATACTCCCCTGAATTGAACCCAATCAAAGAGTTCTTTTCAATGTTAAAATCCAATTTCAAATCCACAAGAAATGCTAATCCCGATATGACTGTTAAAGAAACTCTAGAATATATTTTATCACCTGATAATAATTATAGTCAACAGTGCAATGCCTTTTAGATAAATATGAGAAGATGGTTGGAAAAGGCAATAAGAAGAGAAGAATTTATTTAATTAAAATATTTAAAATGATTTGTTTATTTTTTTTAATAATGTATATTTTTGCATGCCTTTTTAAAATATTATGATTAAATAATGTATACTATTTTTCAAAAATTATGAAAGTGTTTAATCTAGAAAAGTTATTAATATATAACAATATGCTAAATTCCAGGGTTATTCATTCTTATATGCGCATCTATTCATTTTTATATGCGCCTTTATTCATTCTTATATGCGCATTTATTCATTTTTATACGCGCCTTTATTCATTCTTATATGCGCATTTATTCATTTTTATATGCGCATTTATTCATTCTTATATGCGCAATTATTCATTCTTATATGCGCATTTATTCATTTTTATATGCGCCTTTATTCATTGTTATATGCGTTTTACAAAAGCAACTGTAAAAAAGCAATTTGAGCAAAAAAAAAATCATATACAGGGTTATGCAAAATTATAAAGTGCTTTATGCAAAATTATAAAGTGCTTTATGCAAAATTATAAAGTGCCTTATGCAAAATTATAAAGTGCTTTATGCAAAATTATAAAGTGCTTTATGCAAAATTATAAATTGCTTTATGCAAAATTATAAAGTACTTTATTTAACAATAAATAAATGCTATTGTAATAGTACAGGTCATTTTCAGAATCATCTAAGAATGCATAGGAATTAAAATACAATATTAAATTGTAATTAAAAATTAAATGACTTAAGGTGAGTTTCCCGTTCCCGTTTTGACACGGGAACGGGAAAAATCACGTGGGCATGCGTATTATAAGTTTTAATTTGTCCGAAGTAAAACTGCGCATGCTCAAGTAATTATTTTTTCTTTTCCTACCCCGTTCCCGTAGAAAAACGGATGAGTGGAAACTCACCTTAACTGGCTAAAAACATAAACCAAATCAGTAACGTTTTTATCGCAAGTTAATGCAAGTTTTTTAAATTAAAGTTAAAAAATAAAAATTTAAAACCTTACATGGCAAGAAAAAGTCGAATAACGATAACTAAGGAAATTAATGAAACAATTATAAACATGTCTAATTTGATAAATAATTATAGAACCAAATACATTGCCGAAACTTTAAACATTAGCCAAAGTTCTGTAAGAAACTGCATAAGAAATCATCAAAAAGGCATCAAATTTGATACTAAGGGAGAACGCCACAAGCAACCCAGTGGGCATTTCGACGTCGAACGAACGTTGAGCGACGTCGGATCTCGACGTCGGATCGACGTTGGGTTTACGTTGGAAATGGAAATGTTATTTGACGTTGGAAAAACTGACATCGCGCGACGTCGGCATTCCGATGTAAATCCAACGTGTTTTTTGAAAACTAAAAAACGTTGCCTTAGGCAGGAATCGAATCTCTGTCTATCGATATTAATCCTACGCGCTTACCACTACACCACAGGGACATATTAAATAATGTGTTTATTTAGTAATTTATACTTGTAGCTATTTGGGAATTATTTCTTTGATAAGAAATAATTTTGTTTAAATATTATATAAATATTAAAACGAATAGTTATATACAATAAAAAATGTATACTCGAAAATGTTAATAGTTAAAAAACTATGCTAGTGCATCATACAAAACCTCATGATGTTTTATCAACCATTATTCAAACTTCTTTCCATTAATAAAAAACACGCTTAGTTCACATATTTATTGAAGAGCGCAATTGCACACATATTGTTGGGTTTGGATTAAATTTTCATCAGCGATGTCTTACGACGTTGTTCCGACGTCGTTTTAAGGACGTTGGATTGACGTCGAAAGACGTCAAAAGACATCGGAGTACGTTAATATTATGACGTTGCCCGACGTCTTTTTATCGACGTTGGATCGATGTCAGTACTGCGACGTTTTTTGGACGTCTTTTACAAGATGTCGGAACAACGTCAAAATACATCGAAACGACTTCAGGGGATGTTGAGATAAAGACATCGCCCGACGTCATTTTACTGACATCGGAACAACGTCGGAATAGGTCTTTTGACATCGCTGATGAAAATCGCACGTAAATCCGACGTCGGATTGACGTCGGGTGCCCACTGGGAAACAATCAAAAACAAAAATTTGTTGTTTAGTGAAATCGAAAATACTTTATTTAATACGATATCAATAAATAATGAACTGACACAAAATGAAATGGTCGATGAAGTTAATGCAGCAACCGGTATGGTAATTGCGGAAAATAAATATAACGCGAAAAAGGCTTTCATTGGTTCCAATCAGGATTTAATCAGCATTTGAGAAGACGATATGGGTATTCCCAAAAAAATGAAAAGGCATATTCCCTTGTTTCCGGAAACAGAAATACAAATCAAAGTTTGATGTGTGCAATAAATATTTCTGGTGTGGTTGCTTATGAATTAAGAACTAGAGCTTATAATGCTGAAAGCTTTGAAAGATTTATAAGAAATAACCTGTATAATTGTTTCCGACAAAACCCAGACCATATACTGATAATGGATAATGTCCCATTTTACAGATCAAGAAATATTATAGAAGTTTTAAATGAATTAAGAATAATTAGAGAATATTTACCGGCATGGTCTCCTCAATTAAATCCCATTGAGGAATTTTTTAGCATGATAAAGGCAAGATATCGCGGAATAAAAGCTTTAAATAATGAAATTAATATTGGAGATGCATTGGAAATAATTTTTAATCGAATGCGTGAAATTAACGAAGAATTAAGTGGATTTTGGAGATCAATGGAACGATGATTGGAAAAAGCTAAACAAAACATGATTTTTGAATAAAGTAGTTGCTTAAATTAATATAATTTTTTTGAAGTCTAAATGTTAAATGACATGAGCTTATATATAAATAAATTATATATTCGAACTTTTTTATGCTTTAAATGGATTTATTAAACGATTTTGCATAAAGCAATTTATAATTTTGCATAAAGCACTTTATAATTTTGCATAAAGCACTTTATAATTTTGCATAAAACAATTTATAATTTTGCATACAGGTATGCGTACCGCAAAAACACCAAAAAAAGCACATCTCAATAACTTTTTTATTATTTGCTTTTGAGAAAAACTGTTTTGAATGTATTTAGAGTTGCTTAAAATCAGTTCTTCCCAGCTAGTTTGATTAACTTTTAAGAAATAGTTTTGTTATTAATGTTAACTAAACGTTTGTTGTTTTTTGTATGTGTACCCCATTCAATTTATCGATTGTATCTCTGCAGCTAGTGAACCTATGAAGCTGAAATTTGGCGTGTCCTAATCTTATTTGATCTGCTTTAAATAAAACCAGTTACTGCTAACTTAATCTTGGAGAAAATACCCGATGCACCACAAAAACCACAAGATAGGTACCTCAAAAACAACATTGATATTTTAAAAATAACATTTTATAGGCTATACATGTGTTCTCGCTTTTTACTATATCGATTCTATGTAACCTCTTGATTCTAAAGATGTCATTGCAGTGTTTTAAACAAAGTTTGCATCGTGTATTAAAAATATCGCGTATTAAAAATCAATATCATTTTTAGAACATAATAGTTGCAAAAATTTATTAAAACTTACTTTGTGTTTGAACCTAGAGCAAAATCTAAATTTTTACTTGAAAGTTGCTTTTTAGTATTTAGATATGTTCTGTAAGCAACTAATGTACTCTAAAATGTTTAACAATAATTTTTTTAATCAAATAGAATTAGAAAAAAATTAACATAGAAAATGAAACGAAAATTTCAGCTCAGACAGGAAAAATTACAATCTATTCGTGGAAAAAGTAAGCCTGAGGCATCAATTGGGAGGAAGTTCACAGATGCAAAGAATTTACAATTTTACTAGAAAAGGCAGTACAATTTTGTATCGACCACAGCGTGCGAGGCTATAAGGCCTTGAAGACTGGTTTGTTTCCACTAGTAAATGATAGAGAAACGATTAATAGAAGACTAGATCGAATAATAAAAAATGGTAAGTATAAATTTTTTACAGAATAATGATTTAATTTAGTTAGATATCTAAAGAGCTTTGGTTTTTCCTAGGCGAGGAACGTCGATATTGTTGTATTTTTACACTTGAAGAGGAGGAGGCTGTAGTGAAGTATGTCAAGAACAGGAATAGAAGTCTGCAAGGTATCAACAAGACAGAGTTGACCAAACTCCTTCTTGATATTTTAAGGATAAGGGACTACATGAATAAAAGATGCAAAGGAGATCGGAAGTTGATTAAGTTGTCTTCTAATGCAAAATCAGCTCTGGTTAATGGGAAGTAAGTCTAATGATTTTTTGTTCATGTTTGATCTAAAGAAAAAATCAAATTTACATAATCAAAATTACTCAATAGTAATATTTGTAGCCTTGCTTTTTTTATATATATATAGCAGTGAATGTTGATCATTTGTAAGTGCAAGTCAAATGTTTAGGGTTATTTCTATAGAATATTTTAAACCATTTTTTATTGTTTCAGACTTAGTCGTTCATTTTGGACACGACTCCATGCAAAGCTTTCAAGCCTAACAATTAAACGCCAGGGTCAGGTATCAATAAACGAAGCACTTAACTGTACCCGAGAAATGGCTTGTAATCATTTGAATGATCTTGCAATTGAACTTCAGGCATCCGGTATTATGAAAAATGCTGAAAAAGTAGACGAGGGTGTATGGAAAGGTGACATTGACACAACAAGAATATTTAATGATGATGAGACACCGCAATTTGTGAACTATGGTGTTGATGGTACTTCAACATGCTTGGTATATGCATGGAAAGGTGAACAATGCTTAAAAATGCATAAAGAAAACATGGAATGTGTTTCAATTCACCCTTTTGTGTCTTTTTGAGGTGATGTTTGTATATGTCAAGTCATTTTTTCCTCAGTTGGAATAACAAGCCAGATGACAACACAAGTAGCTGTAGAAAAAATCAGTCACCTCCTTGTTACAACAGGCGGCTTGCCAAGAGTTTGATGATTACCTTACTGAGAAGGCAATAGAACGACCTGTTGTTTTATTATCTGATGGACATAATTCACGATTCAGTTACGACGGTTTAATATACCTCCTTTCAAAACAAATTTGGTTATTTATTTCTCCTCCCGACACTACTGGTGTAACTCAATTGCTTGACCAGGTTAATGAAAATCTTCATCATGAGTACAGAATTGCCAAGAATTATCTTTTCAACCCAATGCAATCAATTAATCGAGAGGGATTTATGACCATCTTAGGCAATATATAGGACAAATGAAGATCGAAATCGGTTCTTGTTTCTAGTGCAAAAAGATTTGGAATAACACCTTTTGAATTAAATGTTAACTTTATGCAACAAGATAAATTTGAGCGAGCTGCTGCATGCATTCATAAAGAAGAACCAGCGTCAACTTCTTTTAAAAAACCTGAATCAACCATTTTGTCACCAGTTGGAAAAGGAAAGGTTCGGCAAGTTACTGGAAAGATAAGTTTGACCAGTCTCAAATCTTGATTAGAGAAATGGCTGAGCAAAGCCTCCAATTAGAAAATATTCCTGATCTGCTAACTATTAAGAAAATTAAACCAAACCTTGAAAAAATATCTACTCGTGTTACTCAGGTCTATGGTTCGGTGCGTGAAAAACATGTTGCAGCAAAAGTGAAAGATATAAAAGAAGAGAAACGATAAAAGATAACAGCAAAGGAGGAAGCCAAAAAAAAGAAAGAAGAAGCTAAAGAAAAGTTTATTAAATGTAAAGTTGAATGTTTTTGCAAACAAAGGAAATGTCAAGCTTTTGACCTAAAGCAATGTTCTAATTGTCCTAATGTTCTCCGTTCAATTTACAGCAAAGCGAGTTGCAGAGTTGATGGTGTTAAACCGGTTATGCTTTTACCAGCAAACCAGCACTTCTCCACATCTAAATGGTCGTAGAAAAACCAATAAAACTGCTTTAATTTCATCATAATATATCAAGTTTTTTAAATCCTGAATTTTTTTTTACATGCTAGGTCACTTAAGCCAACATTGTGGTTTTTGCGGTACGGTTGTTTTTGCGGTACGTATACCTGTGAAGCACTTTATAATTTGGAAGAAACTGGTAATATAAAATATTTTTTTTTTAGGTTATATATTTTGCCGTCTTTATAATAATTTTTTTACAGTAATTTTTTCCTTTATGATATGACCGGAGCAGGCAGTAGACATTTTTTTTTTTTTTTCTGATTAACATCGTATAATATTATTACAATGCACGTATACATATGGAATCTCATAAAATAAAATATAAAAGTATATACATTACAACAAAATTAAGGTAAATCAGATAGGGACTCAAAGAAGATAAGCATAACATTACGTTATCGCAATTTTTTCATAGAACCCCTAGGTACAAGTTTAAATAAAACAACGTAGCTCGTATAAAAATATAATAATAACAATGTTATCATTAAAAAGTCAAGACAAGGTTAAATTAATCAAAAAAGTAAAAAGAAAAAACTTTATCTTAAGTTCAAATTTTAAAAATTTCTTTTTTTAATTGAAATTTAAATGAACTTAAAAACTTCACCATAAATTTAAATTCCTTTTGACAGTCATTCCATAATTTAGGTCCTCGATAAGATATACAAAATTCTGAGAGTTTATTACATTTGCGAGGCAATTTAAAGTTTTTATTTCTATTTGATCTTAGACCATACTTTTCATTTGAATTTATATCAAACTTATCTTTGAAGTTTGCTGGCAAGAGGTTGTTATAGTATCTATACATAAAAATTAAATGCTGATAAATATTTATTTCAAATATATCCATCATTTTCATATCTCTCATAAGAGGTTTTGCATGTTCACGTTTATGTTTACAGTATATAATACGGCAAGCGTGTTTTTGGAGCCTTTAAATTTTTTGAAGTTTTTAAGTTTGCGTACTTGCCCATGATATGTTTGCATAACTAATAAAACAGTGTATCAGTCCAAAGTATATTAATTTGAGACTTATTGACGTATGGTCTAACCCTATACATTACGCCACATAGTTTTGGTAACTTTTGAATGTATGTAATTTATATGGGGACGCCAGGATAAATTTTCATCGACAAGGATTCCGAGGAATTTTATGCTTGTTTGCTTTTTAATCATTGTATCATTTAAGTACAACTCGCGCAATTTAAGAGGAATATTTAATTCTTGTGTTTTTTTATGGAATAGGTTGGTTTTCTCAACATTAGGTGTGAGTTTGTTATCGGGTGGACGCGGAAAAATCCGGTCATCTTTAAATTGAGATTTCTCCAAAACCACAAATGCTTTTTATTTAATTTTTTTTTTAAATTAAACCTTACTTCCTTATCTTAAATGGTGTTGATAAATTTTTGTTTACAAATTAATGATTTGCAAAATGTTTTGGAAACAAGTTGAGGTGCGTAAAAAATTTGTGATTTTTTTTTGCAAAAATCCATCGACTTCCTATCGCTTGATTGCTAAACGCACAAATGTCCCAAAATCTACAGTCTACAATCTACAATCAAATGTCCCAATATCTACAGATATTATAAACAAGTTCAAAACTACTCAAAGCTTTGAAAGAAAAACATTCCATAATTCCAAAAAGGTAAAGTCGATTTTACGTTCAATAGCAAGAAATCCAAATCAGTCACAGCGAGATCTAGCAAGAAAATTTAAGACTTCTCGTTCTTATATCAAAAAAGTACTTAAAAATGCTGGAATTAAAGCATTTTATAAAAAAAATACACCTAAGAGAAGCTTAAATTGTGAAATTAAAGGAATTTGACGCGCAAAGAAGTTGATTAAAATAATGGCGGATAAAAATATGTGCATAATTGAAGATGACGATTTTTCACAACTTTTTGGTCAACAGTTTTACTATGAAAACAAAAATAAACTGTCGATGATCAATTTGAATATATTCGACGAGAAAAATTTGCATTCAAGTTTCTTGTGTGGCAAGCAATTTGTAGCTGTGGTATGCAGTCCTCTTGTTTTGTCACTAAAAAGACCTTGACTGCCAATCTCTACATCAAAGAATGCATCCAAAAAAGACTTTTGCCTTTTATAAAAAACACAAATACTGATGTCTCTTTTGGCCCGATCTTGCTGCCTCTCACTATTCTAAAAAAGTTTTACAGTGGTGCAAAGATAATAATGTGAAAATTGTTCCTAAAGATGCGAATCCTCCAAATCGTCCTGAAGAGCGCAAGATTGAAGATTTTTGGGCAATAGGATTTCTTTGTAAGACAGGTGGACTAACAAATAATAAAAAGGACTTCCAAAAAAAGTGGATTAATGCATGGTGAAAAAAGAAAAAATCTGTAAAATGATGGCATCAACCCGTTATAAAGTTCGATTTCTTGCCAAGCAACCCATCAAGCCCCTTAAAATTAAGTTGAAACATTAATTTATGTAAACACATTTAATAATAAAAAAATTGAAATAAAAAGCATTTATGGTTTTAGAGAAATCTCAATTTAAAGTTGACCGGATTTTTCCGTGTTAAGCCGATAGCTTTAAACCAACTATTTACTTTATTCAATTCTATGCTCATATCTGTATAAAGATGTTTAATATGATTATTGGCAAGAAATAAATTAGTATCGTCTGCAAACATTATTGAGTTTAGTTTTAATGATGCATTAGAAAAGTCGTTAATATAGATTAAGAATAAGAGCGGACCAAGGATTGATCCTTGTGGAACTCCGCAAATGACATTTAATATTTCGGATTGCACATTATGAACATATTGCTTTCTATCAGTAAGAAAACTTTTAATCCAGAAATAGGTTGTATTAATTATACCGTAATGCTTAATTTTTTGTAAGAGAATGCAATGGTCGACGGTGTCGAATGCTTTAGATATATAAATACTCCTAAAGTAAATTTGTTATTGTCAAACCCATCAGTTATTTGGTTGACTATTTCAATAATTGCATGCTCAGTGAAGTGATTTTTTTGAAATCCGAATTGTTTTGTGTAGAATAAGTTATTTTTAGTGAAATATTCGAATATTCTATTATAAATTACGCGTTCAAACAATTTTGAGAATACAGAAAGTAAAGATATAGGTCTATAGTTTGTAATGTTCGAATGATTGTTACCTTTGTAAATTGGAATTACTTTAGCTATTTTAAGAGCATCAGGGAAAACACCAAACTTTAATGAGAGTTTTAGTATATGAAATAAAGGTTTGCTTAAGCTAGTTTTGTTAAAAATAACTATGTTGCTAGGTATTTCATCATATCCTGGGGATTTATTTTTTTTAAAGAAGAGTATGCTGCTTCAAATTCTTTATAGCTTAATTTATTGTCATACAATATTTTGTCATTAGAGGGTTTTAGGTAGGTTTTAAATGATTCTAATGTTGGTGTTATCATATTGGCAAGATTTGGGCCAACATTTGTAAAATACTTGTTGAACTCTTTTGAAATTAAGTTTTCATTGTATATATCAGTGTTATCAATATTAATTCTTTTAGGTAGTAAAGATGCAATGTTTTTATCTTTACCGATTATATTATTAATTATGGACCATGTTTTTTTACTATTAAATTTGTATTTGGAAATTAGCGTTCTGTAATAGCTTTTTTTTGCATTTTTAATTAGTGCTTGGTAAAAGCTTTTATATTTTTTGTAATTTTTTTCGTTTTCAGTGTTTTTATTTTTTAGGAATTTGTTATACAATTTTTGCTTTTTTTTAGAACATTTTAACAGCGATTAATCATCCACGGATTAGCTAGTGTTTTCGCCTTAATTTTTATATCCTCGTATGGGCAGGTTTCATTGAAGTGCTTCAATAATGTACTTAAAAAATTGTTAAAAGCCTCGTTAGTATCTTGACATTTATATACACTTCTCCACGTTTCTTGTTTTAATTTACATGTTAATTCATTAGTATTGCTAATTTTTAGGATACGTTTTTTAAAATTGATAACATTTGGTTGACTATTGGACGCAGTTTTTAAATAGTTTACTTTTAAGAAAATAGGAAAGTGATCACTGATATCCGTCTGGAATATTCCGGATTCAAATGTTGTTTCTAGGTAGACAAAAGTCTTATCATTTAGCCTCGTTGTACCATTTACATTAAAAAAATTTACAATCAAAGTTGCAAAGTGAAATAATATTAATTACTTTAAAATAAAACAAATTTTCTAATCTGAATTCATTAAATTTTAAATATATAAAATAAAATTTATAAATACATAACGGCGTAAACAAAAAATTATAAAAATAATAATAAAATAAAAATAAATAAACAAAATGCATATTTTTTTAAAAAATAAGAGAATTTGAGATATGTATCTGTTTTTATAAAATGCTTTTAAATTTTTGAATCGAAATTAATGTTTTATTGTTAAATGTAAGAATTGAGTTCCACAAATGTGGCCCTCGGTATGTTATTGAGAATTCAGATTGTTTTAAGAATGTTTTGGTACCTGATAATTATGCAATGAATGCTTTGTTTTTTTTTGTTGATCTATTATAAAAAAAGGTCTTCAAAAATATTTGGCAACAATTAATTTCTTAATCTAAACAAGAATGCTATAAATATTTAATCCGTAAACATTTAGCACTCCCAGTTTTTTAAGGAGTGAATTGGCGCTGGCGTATTTATTAGCATTTAATATTAGGCAACTAGCTTGTTTTTCTTTTTTTAAGATACGCTTTTGCTTTGTCGTGTAATTGCTTGCCAAGGCGATACTACGTAACTAATGTAGCTACAAATAAATGAAAAATACATAGATTTTAAACAATTTTTATTCAACATAACTTTTGTTTTGTTCATAACTCCAATGCTTTTTGAGATTTTGTTTTCTATTAGATTAATATGCTTTTTCAAACTTATTTGTTCATCGAGTATAACACCTAAAAATTTAATACAATATGTCCGTTGCAACATAGTT